TTTACCCTGCTTTAAAGAAATTAGGGTCGTAATAGCAGATGTGCCTGTAGAACTACCCGGATATGCTGAAAGAGCAATCAGCTAGGGCAGTTGATCCACCAGTAGAGACACTGCCAGGAATGAAATAATGGGACAATGCTGTAGATAAGACAGGGGTGACACAAAGGACTTATGCACTTCAGCTGTACCCTATCTTCCTTCGGGCCATGATCACACCACAATGGTGCAGATTCACAACAGCTTCTGACCTGCTGTGAATAACTTCCCTCCCATTTATTTCAATGGAAGAGGGAATACAAAATAGTTACTCTTGCATCAACAGCCATTCTGCTCACATTGCCATGACAGAGTTTACAATATGGTATAGACTTTGCACACAGTCACATCCATGCATGTGCCAACCATATATAATGGTATATACAACATGAATGGTAAGACACACCCCAGGGCTCATAAGTGCAAACTTTGGCGATGGAAACTTTGTAGAGCTGTTTGCATGAAGCATCCTGTACCTCCACAGTACTGTGACTCTTGCCAACTTGTACCTTCCTAGAAACCCAAATGGAACCTTGCCACTTGCCTCTGTTGGGAAGATTCAGATAAATCCTGGCAGAAAAAGATTGCTTATATGCGCCTTTGTATTATAAAAATATCTGCACCCCTTTCTCAGAAAGCACCTGAATTCCTAGCCATGTTACTGTTTAACATCTGCTGTTACTTTAAGAAGTGGGAACTGATAGCTTGCCCAAGAAGCTGCCAGGGCTATTGTTTTTGCTGATCAGTAACAGCTGATAAGGCTGCCAGGTTAACAGTATTGCATTCACCCTCATTTGCATGCCAAGACCCACAATAATCCCTGTGTTAATATCCTGTAATTAATGCCATCATATTGAGCCCCCTCTGCAGAGCTCTCACCTTCTTATGACTGTGTTCCCCTTATTTTGTCATCAGCTGCTCAGCTGCTGGGCCCATGTGACTCAGAATCTATAAAACAGTCTGTATATGTTCTAAAACCTTGTAGTTGGCAATGAGAACCACTACTCGCTAACATGCTGTCTTAAGTAACTGCAGGGGTCCTGAGTGATCATTCAATAAAACTGCTGAGGTTCAAAGCGAAAGGAGTCTTTCCTGACTGTACCCAGTTATCCTGTCTCGTGGCTGCCATCAAGGCATCCCAACACCACCGATCACAAATAAAGGTAAAAGTAAAGGTTTCCCCTTGACATTAAGTCCAGTCATGCCTGACTCTAGGGGGGCGGTGCTCATCTCCATTTCCTAACCGAGGGAGCCAGCATTTGTCTGCAGACAGTCTCCGTGGTCATGTGGCTGGCTTGACTAAACACCAAAGTGCACAGAACGCTGTTACCTGTCCACCAAAGTGGTACCTTTTTATCTACTTGCATTTGCATGCTTTCAAACTGCAAGGTTGGCAGGAGCTAGGACGGAGCAACGGGAACTCACCCCGTTGTGCAGATTCAAACCGGCGACCTTTTGATCAACCAGCCCAGCAGCACAGTGGTTTAAACCACTGCGCCACCTGCAGTCCCTCTGATCACAAATACCCACCTCTAAAGTAGTTTGTGTTTTAAGATTGCTAGCCAGAATACACTTAATAGGGAAGTGTATGCCTGCAACATCCACTGTATCATTATAATTACTGAACTGATTAAAAACTACTTTCAATGAACCGGACAGCAATTTTCTGTTTAAAATATGAATGCTAATACAGTGGTACCTTGGCTTACGAACGCCTCCATTCATGACCATATCAGGTCACAAACAAAAATTTCATAAAAATTTTGACTCAGGTTGTGAACTCTGCATTGGGTGGCGACTGCGATCGTGGCCATTTCACCATCCCCTCGAGTGGGGAGATGGCTGCGATCGTGCTGGGGTGGGGGGGGGGGAGATCGCTGAGATTGCGCCCATATTTCCTGCAGGAGTGTGCCCATGATTGTGCCCGTCTTTCCTGCACAAGTGCAACCGCAATCTTGGCCATCTCCCCACCCCCAGCACGATCATGCCCATCTCTCTCCCCATCCGTGCACCCACATTGGTGCCTGTCTCTCCCCCGTCTAGCGTGCCGGGATGAAGAGCGTGTGCAGGGATGACAGGCGCGATTGCGGTTGTGCTGGGGGAGGGGATGATGGCCGCGATCTTTGTTGTTGTCACTTTGTTTCACATTTTTCTGATTAAAAAGTAGTTACAGAACGAATTAACCTTATTTACATTGAACCTTATGGGAAAATTTAACTTGGCTCATGACCAATTTGGGTCATGACCAGAGTCCTGGAATGAATTAAGTTCATGAACCAAGGTACCACTGTACATGTACCTATAAAAACTATGGAAGGCAAGCAACATTTGAAGAGAGTTATTTCCCTTTTATCTCACACAAGGAGGAATGCCTCTTATAAGAGAACTCTTCGTACAATCTGTGTACAATGTCAAAAACAAAGCATGCTTAATGCTTCAGAACTATTTTCACCCATCTGAACATTTAATAGGTAGAATAACAAAAGTATTGAATGAAATTCATTATATAATTAACTAAGATTTCTTTCCTTGGGTAACTATTGGGTATCCTTGGGTATCCTTTAGGATAGAACTTAACAAAGAGTTTTGTTGCACCCTAAAGATGAACACCATTACTTTTGTAGGGGCTTTATACAATACATATTGTTTGAAAGATAAATCGTAAACAGTGAGTTTGGAGGAAATTCATTGCAGGAATTCAGTGTAGGAAGGAATTTTATTTTTATAATTATTTTAAGGTTGCATTAATACCCTCCTTTCTTCCTCTTGCAAGGAACCCGAAGAGGCTTGCAAGATTCTATTCCTCTCCATTTTGTGCTCGCAAAAACAACAGTTTGAGGAAGATTAGGATTCGGGTTAATGACAGGGCCAAAGTCATGCAGAGAACTGAATGGCTGAATGGGTCCTAGAACCAAGATCACCCAAGTCCCACTCCAACCATTCTGAGTTCAGTTCACTCCAACCCTTCTGAATAAATAAGCTCATGAATGTGACAGAAGTGTGGTAAAAGGTAGTTATCTATCTTGGTCTTGAGTAAGCATGCATCATTGTTGACCAAATGTATGTGTCCTTGTATGTATATGCCCAAAATACACAACAGGGGAAGGTTTTCTTTTAAAGGATTTATTCTTGAGAATAGCCAGCTACCAACAAATTGTTCCAGATGGTGCACCTGATCAGTCCTCAGTTGACCCTTTTATACATAGATCATTAAAGGGTACATGTAACACAATTAAGACTTTCTAATAGGTTACAGAAGTAAAAAAAAATACATGTTTCTGGTTTGCATTCCAAAGAGAATGAAGATTCTTTCAAGAAGGGGAGAAGGATGGGGTTTTGTTTTAAAGAAGAGGAAAATGAGGAGAAAGAGTGGTGTGAATTACTCTTTGTTCTGGTTGTTATCTGTAAAGTGTCAGCTTGGTGTCTCTGAAATGATGTCTGGTTAGTGTCAGCTACATTTCAAGAAGGAACATTTGCTGATGTTTAAAGAAAAAGAATATTTTTCTGGTCTCCTATATGTTGATATTTGCATGATTATATGTGTGTAGGTTATACCTATTGATTTGTGCATCACCCTGGATGGTTACTGTAGAGCTAAAAGTTTATCAGATTTGATAACCATAGAGATGGGAGGGAAACTGCCTGCCTGCTTTAGCTCTCTTGACCACCTCCTCTCTCTTTTCCTTGCTTTCTGGATGTACGGTACTAGACCACCTGGAACAGTAGTGGGCAACTTTGGCCCTCCAGATGTTTTCGCCTATAACTCACTTCTTTCCTCCATATTGGTAAGCTGTAAGGCCAAAATGTCTGGAAGGTGACAAGTTGCCCACATCTGAATTAGAATAATTGTTTTTGTTATAATTACATTCATGTTTTTTCCTTCTTGCAAGGTACCCAAGCCAGCTCATGTGCTGCTTCCTCTCCATTTTTTTCCTCCCAACAATTCTCTAAGGTAAGCTAAGGTAAGGTAAGGTATGCTTTAAGTCAGTGACTGGTAAAGTTAGCTTTATAGCCAAATGGGTGTTAAAACCGCTTGGTGCCATCATTGTTTTTCGGCGCCAGGCCAAGACCTTTTTATTCGAACAATATTATAACACTGTTTAATGTTTATAGGTTTTAATTGTGCAGCCAGGGTGTTTCCGGGTTTTGTTATTGTTATTTATATTGCATTTATTTACTTCTGTGAGCCATCCCGAGGCTATATAGCAAGGGGGCAGCATATAAAAACTTTAAATAATAAATAAAACCAAGAGTCTCTTCAGAGTCCCAGTCCAATGCTGCAACCACTACTCTATCCTGACATTCCAAGTTTTTTCTCAGGGCGCTGTCCCCAAGTGCAGCATTTTAAATTCATATAGGGATGAATGAGAGCCAGCAACTTTCCTGATGAGGTCTTTATTGTCCAATCACTCTCGTTCACCAATTCATTAGTAGTCTCCTAAGCCTTCTCACCACTTCTTCTGACTTTTTTGCCTCCCAGGGTGGAAAAACTCTTTAGGGAGGAAAACAGGCAATGGCAGCAATCTGACGCCTGTGGTAGCGCTGCCAGCGCCCCCCCTCCCGGAAGCACCTTCGAACAGCATCCATTGAGAACAAAAAGTCCTCCCATATGCACAGCCAGATCCTGAGCTCTATTTCCAAGTGACACTAACATGAGCCAGAAAAGTGGGCCGGAGCTTTGCACATGTCCAGCCTTAACGAAAGAGGAACAGAAGAGCTCGGCTTCGTACCCACGAGGCGGCCAAATGTGCAGGCGCGAGCCAGCGGCTGCCACGGCATCAGTCCACGCCCTCGAGACAGAGGTGCCTTTGGGAAGCCGGGAGATTTCCTCGTGACCCTCTAGGCTGGGCAGGGCAAGAAAGGAAACGTGCAGACGAGAGGCGGAGAAGCGACAGAAGCTCTGCGTTTCCTTAGCAACTGCGCCGCTAGTGGACCGACGGTAGGAAGTTCGTTGGGCCGCTCTTCCCCGCCCCTTTCTGCGATCACGTGACCAGCCTTCTGGCGTTGTCCGCCGTCCGCTTCCGGGACGAGCGGATTGCGAGGGCACAGCAGGAGGCGGGTAAGTAAGGTTCAGGTAGGCGACGGCGACTGTAGAGGTGGCAGCGGTTCCGTGACATGTCGACCAATAACGTCAGCTACAATGAGCAGGCCGGAGATGCTCAGCCCGAGGTGGGCCAAGAAGCAGCGCCCACTGTTCCTTCCTCTGTTCCGACGGCCTTCGGACTCTTCAGTAGCGACACCAAAAAGTAAGTGAAGAGCTGACAAAGTGGGAGTGAGGCGGGCGTGTGCAGCGCTCCGGGAGCCGCGCGACCGAGCTCCCCTTTTCGGGAACCTTCTCCTGTCAGGGCTGTGGGAAGTGCCTGCGGTGCGTTCTCCGGCGATACCAGAAGCTGCTGGTTCTTGCTTCCCTATCGAGACCTATTAACTGCTTCACACTACCAATACGCTGTTTCAGTTCTGTGCCTGAAATTTACCAAAAATAGTCTGTTGTGTGTGTTCCTAACAGGGCTGCCTATAATTTCGGTTTGTCTTGATTCTGGATTGTTTCTACTATTTTGAACAAGTTTTGGAAGTTCGATTTTCTGGTGCCACTTACTGTCAGGGTGCCGCGTGACCTACCCAAGCCCTTAAAAAAGTTTAGTTGTAGGATAGAAATACAAAGAAAGGGGCTCTGTTCTGTTATGCTAGCCTAGTAATGTTTTTAGAGTAAAATTTAAGGAAGGATTATAGCTGGAACCAAAATTGCATCAGTCTGCCCTTTTTCTCTTCTCCTGATTTATCTGTGGAAATTTTGCTATGGTTGGGGCTATATTCCCACAAGGACTTGCTTATCTGTATTCCTGTTTTCCAATATCTTTTATTTTAACAAGAGTTCCTTTATTTTGTTGAACCTCTTCTCTATGAAGTATGCTGGAGGATTTTCAGAAGGCTTCAGTTTTATAGAATCAAAATAATAGTCTGTTAATTGTAATGCTAATATTTCAATTAGGCAAGTGCATTTCGTTTGCCCATTCCTTTCAGTAGTTTCTCAAGGAGATTAATAGTTAAGACCATTGCAGATGATGCTTTCTAAGAAAGTGCCACACATAGAATATTCAATTGTGCTGGTTATTGCTTTGTAAATCTTCTGCTCAGTACTTGTCTGAATGACGGGTCTGTACCTTTGAATCTTTCAAAAATACTTACAGTCATTGTAATAGGAATGTATCATAAGTCCATGAACTTATCCATAAAAAGATGCACATTTACTTGGGAATGGATCCTCCATTTTACAAAAGTAGAAACTAAAGCTAGTTTCAAGTGGTGCACTTACACCTCCACCAATTCTGTTGTGCTTCACTGATACCTTCTGTAAGCAATATCACCTGCTTGTGGAACCAGATACAGGCTTGATTCTGGAATGGGGAGCATCAGCAGAAATCTCATAAAGGGGCTTGCTTGATCTATTCTGATTCAAATTTAAGTATTTTTACTTATTGTGAGGCTTCTAAGAAGTATTAAGAAATGTTAAGTTTCTGTTGTGCAATCCATAGGTCCTGCTTGTGCAATAGAATTGGTGGGCCCACTGTTTCTGCAACAGAATTTGTGGGGTGCAAAAGAATCGGTGGGAGTGTAAGTTCTCTATTCAATATTGACTTCAATCTTAGGCTTAGATTAATGTCTTTTAGAACCAAGCTAGTGGATTGCAGTGCATATATACTCAGACATAGTTCCGGCTGAGTTCAGAGGAACTTACAAGTAAGTATATATGACATTATAGCCTAAGGGGACAATCCTGCTCAAGTTTAAGCCAAAAAAAAGGGGGGGCCTAGAACTTCCAGGATCCTTCCAACCAGCCATCATAGTGAGTCTTTATGTTTGGGGCATATTGGAAGCTGTAGGCCATTTTTCTGTTTAAACTTGGATTGTGTCCCTAGTGATAGTGAGCCCCTGAACTTGAATGCTCACAATTATCCTGTGTAGGGTAGGAGGAACAACAGATGTTCTTTGCATCCTCATTCTCCTACCCTGATATATTTCTCAAGATGAGGATTTTTTTTTTCTGGGTAGCTGGGGCACTTTGAAAGGGGATGGAAGGATGCTGGAGTCTCTTCCTTGTGTTCTATTTCCGTCTCTTGTATCCAAGGTCAAGGTTCCAACTTTAGAGAGCAGCCAGTGCAGGTCTTTCCATGCTAGCTGGGAATGGAGCTGAAGTTCAAATTCCTCTCTCCACTGTTGGTCCATATTGTCCAAGGGCCATAGGATTGTCCCCTCCATCACTCTCCTGTTATCCCTTTGACTTGTCTTCTACTATTTCACGTTATTTGCCATAAATTATTTTGCTTTTGTGAGGTGCGTGCATGTGTGTGTGTATGCATGCTACTTCCTGCTTTCAGTCTTTCTTGATCTGTCGTATAAAATAAAGAAAAATGAGATGTAATGATAAAGTACAGAAATACAAGCAGTTCTGGTGAAACTTCAGTATCCTAATCTTGTCTGATTGTCATCATCCTGATAACACTGGCTGAAATAACAGTGGCAAAGAAGTTAAAATAAGTTTTAAATAGCAGTGGGGTGCTGCCAGTGAGGATTGAAATTGTGGTGAGAAGGGGGACTGGTCTTGATGAAAATCTCCCCTCTCCAAGCTGCAGTTGTGTGTGAGAGAAGCTGCCGTTAATGTCAATGGCAGCATCCGTCCTGAAGAGTAATGCAAGTGGGGGAATGCCTTGGGAGTAAATGGTTTAACTACTTCCCATTCTGTCCATTGCAGCTCCTGTTTAAAGTTTGGTATCATACAATACCAAACTGTGTTTAATGTTACATTTAGTTTGCCCCTTCAAGTTTTGTAGGAAAAATGTTTAAATGGCCCTATGGTTTCTTTGATGTGATATGAGAGGAATTATTAATGCATTTGATGACTTGTTGTTGAAAGTGAAATTGGAAGGTTTCATACATATACAAAAATGCCAGTTTTGGTTGGAATATCTCACAGGTACAATATGGTTTGGACTTCAACTTCTATCAGCCCTAGTCAGCATAGCAGTGCACAGGAATGCTGAAAAATGTGTTACAATGCATCTGGGGAAAGCTCATTCAAGGATTTGTGCAAGATACAGTTCCATGCAGTGCATCATTTGTTTGCTAATTCATTTGTTATGTAATCTGTATTGGCAATCCTGTTTTAAGTCATCTTTTAAAATTGGTTACATTCTGTAAATTCTGTATTTCCTTTGTTTATATCCATTAATGTTTATATTTTATTGGAGGCTATAAATGAAGCACTCACTTCTAAAGTTGTTTAGTGTATAGTTAAAATTGAGAATATTACCTTTTTTTTTAAAAAAAGTTGTACATAATCATGTGTATGCAGGATAATGTTAGGTTATCAAGGTAAATGCTTATTGTAACACTTAGTATTGTATTGTTGATTATACCTAAGAGATGACTGGTAATTTACTTTCAAATACATTATTTGCTATAAGTAGGATGTAAGATGTTTCATGCAAGCTGATTTGGATGCAGATGATTATTGTCACCTGATTCGATGTTGCTAAAAGCTTAGCGGGAAAGATAAATGTTGATGCTATCAAGAAAAGGAATTGATTGACTATGCAGTATAAGATAGCTGTCCTCTCATATTCTACCTTGTAGTCCTTTATTTATTGCAGGTCATCACGTTCAGAAGAGATCCCAGCAAGTCTATAAATCCTCTGCTTATGCTAAGTGTTGAATTTATTTAGTTGCAATCTGGCAGCTAGTAGTTACTCATAAATTAATTCATCTACAATGGAACTTACATATGACACACTGGCATATCAGCAGTATACTCGTTTTGTTTTGTTTAGGTCACTATTTGAAGTGACTGTAATACTTGTACTAAGTAGTTCATTTACTGTGTTTGAGAATTAGTTATTTCCATGTATCTGAGTTTTTCTACATATTCAAAAATGGAGAATTTTCATACATACATGCTACATCCATGTGAAATGCTGCTTCTCTTTTGAGAGAATTATGAGATTTATCAAAGCTTGATAATCTTTTAGTAGCATTATAATCATTTAATCAGGATGATTTCTGGTGGTTAGCTGTTCCTAGAGGTAATGAAAGTTAAGTGTCCTTGTTTCTTCAGCTGTTTCATTTATAGTCTACTTTCCCAGAACTTATTATGAGTAAACTAAATTCATATTTAACTAGGGCAGGATAAATATATTGAATCTCCCTCTCCCTCTCCCTCTCCCTCTGTATGTGTAAATATCCATCCCCAGTACATAATAGATGTTGTAAGGCTGTTGTTGTTTTTCTCAAAAACAAATCCAATATCATATCTGTCTGTGCTTCCTTTTAAAATCTAGCCAGTTCTGTGATCCAAGGTTCCAGCGATCATCACGAGAATAAATTATGTGATTTAAGCTGGACTTGATATCATAGTGTGGCTGCAAATAGCATAAGATTTTGGTTAGAAATGTAGATGAAAAAATACGAGAAATCAGATGCTGTGTTTTTGAAGAAGCAGAAACTTGGATGATAGTATAGCTTGTATACCTTAGAAATTTTCCTCTTCTAAGAAGGAAATTGAATACCATTGAATACAATTGAAGGCTAGAAGTTCACAATCTCAGAAAAATCAAATGAAAGCTACTTCATGCAGTGTGTTTCAGGTTCTCTATGTGGATATGATGGAACTGTCAATGGTCCATAGGTTTCTGATAAATACAACAGATTTTACATTTGTGACTGTATTTTGAGATTTGAGACTGTATGAGGCCTATAAAAGCTCCCAGATTTACTGCCTATTTTAGCTTAGAAGGTTAGCTGTACTTCTTTCTTTTATTTATCATGTTATTTAATTTAGGGTTCAGAAGCCGAGGACAGTATCCTGTTCAACAGTAGCACTGAAGTAAATTATGTTGCACTAACGTAAATTACCTCTAGTGCAACACCAGTAGTTCTTGGTTTGATGGGTTTCCCTGGAAATAGATGTTGTAAGGCTCATATATTTGGACCAGCTTTTAGGTTCCTCACATAGCAGAATAACAGGCCAGTTCAACTGTAGCAATATAGTTGGCTCTGAAAATTGATTCTGATTGATTCTACATTATTGGGGTGATAAGTCTGGATATGACTTCTCATGAGAGTTGGCTGCATTTTGTGGCAGAAATATTTGACAGTGCTATAAGCCTACAGAAATATGTTTTGTCAGTTAGGTTATCTGACACAAGATCTAGGAAACCCCTGGGTAGGGCTAAATTCACTTGTTTTTACATCT